AGGTTTCTATGAGATTGCTTATCTCCTGTGGGGACGTGAAAAGAGAATCCCGAAGGGCCTTGCGAGCTGCAGCGTTCCTCCTTCCCGAGTTCAGGGAGCCGTCGAGAGAGCCAGCGCCTGTGGCATCGAGTGCTCGGTCCAGCGTGGTCAGCTTGCTTGAACCCAGACCTTGACTGAAGGGCATCGAGGCACCTGACCATCGCCTGAGCAAAGGCCTCGGCTGGTTCTTGAGGTTGTCCTGCTCCTACGTTGGGGGCTGCTTCCTCGAGAGCAGCCAAAGGAGCCGCAGTGTCGCCTTCGTCCTCGGACTCGTCCAGTGGAGAACGGCGCTGTGTCGCTGAAGGGCGGGCCGGCTCGGCCTTCAGCCGGCCCAAGGGACGGGCCTCGACAAGACGGCTCATCTCGCCCAACACGTGCGGCTCGACTCCTGAAGCCAGAGCAGCCGTAACCACACTTTGATCCAAACCGGGAAAGGCTTCGCCCCCTGAGGCACTGTGACCTTGAGGCTGGGCCGAAAGAGCACGAGGAGGCAAAGCAGCGGGCGACCCGGCTTTCGATCGGGCTGCTTGCTTCGGCCCCGCAGAAGCCCTTGGCTCGGCGGCAGCAGGACCTCCCAGAGCAGCCAGCGTACGCTCGAGTTGCGCCATGCGAGCGGACAAGCTTGCTTGAGCATCGGGGCCCTCGTTGGCCGTTTGCACGGGAGTGGACAAGGCCCCGGCAACTTGATGTTGCCACAAAAGAGCCACAGCTTCCACAAAGGGCACAAGGAGCTCTCCATTGGGCAGGACGCCGAATGGAACCGAGGGCGTGGCATCGCTCACCTGGATCGACCTCTCTGCCTCGCCTTCGCAAAACCCCATCCAAACCCGAACCACCTGACCGGCAATTTCGGCACCACGGTCGGCGATAGAAGCCGAGGCCACTTCGGCTGCTATAACCTTGCTGAGAAAGCCTCGCGGCACGGTACGCTTTGCAACTTTGCGGTGCCAGGCAGCAGCCGGTAGGCATATCAGCAATTTGCCTTGCACGTCGCCTGCGACCAAGCAATGTACGGTCACAGGCAAACCTTCCTCGTCCTCTCCGCAAGCCAAAACACACAGAGGAGCGAGGGGATCCAAGAAACCTTCGCCCACGCACGCGCAATCACGGGCGGTAAGGGCCTCGCCGTCCAGCAAATCCCCTTCCTCCTCCATCTCACCAGCTGTCTGGCAAGATGAGGTTGGCAGCGGCACACACACTTATAATGTCCTGGCGGGCAGGGAGCCCGACGAAGATTGACTCACCACAGTTGGGGCCCCTCTTGCAAAGGGCGGAGCACTCTGCGAAACTACGGCACACCCTGATGGGCGATAGCACTTGTCCGCTAAAATCTCGCACAACGATCCAGTACCTGGACTGCAAACCTAGCCTGTCCCTTCCTGACGCGCCTCGGTGAGCGCCGTCGAGAGATCGGCGAAGGAAAAGCCCGATCTCTCTGCACGCGGCTGCTCTCTCGGCAGCTGAAACTGGCACAACTCCTCGGTCGGGCGAAGGCGGGGAAGGGCCTGGATTCCAAGCGGTGAGGCAGGGTGCTGAAGCGGCCGGGCTCGGGGCTTTAGGGCCTAAGGGGCTACCCGAGGACCTAGCAACCGTAGAGGTTAGGGAAGCTGCCGCGGCGGGCTGCTGCACGAGGTCAAAGGAAGAAGGACTGCTCGCCTCGTCAAGGCGCGCTTGCAGCACACGGACCTGTTCACGAAGCTCCACCACCAACTCCTCAAGATGCTGCACACGGAGCTCCAGGCTCATGCACGGGTCACCCGCTTAAAATCCTATACCGAAAAGGCGGCCTAATATATCTATCCAACCGCACTAAGACCAACCCACGTAGGCACAGGAACAGCTCGAGGGCTGGAAGCAAGAAAAGTCCAATGACCAGCCCGAGCAGCACAGACGGAACGTGGATTTTCCAAGGAGGTAAGTCGAGGAAGTCCAAAGGTGAAGCAGGGCAAATCGGACAGTCGAGGAAGGGAGGATCGTTCTCAAAGAGACGAGACAAGTGAAGCAAAAGAGAGGTGACCGACAGACCAGCTGACGACGAGACAAGGGCTCGGGACATCCACCTCAGCCAAAGTTCTGCGAGCCTCACTCGTTCACCGTAAAACATGCCGAGTCATACGTGAAACATCTCAGTCAAATGTACTCCGAATTTTTGAGATAAACATCCTGTCAAAAATACAATCCATAGTAATGCAAGCACGGACGCAATCTCTTTTAGTCGAAAAGGGAAACAGATGCCCACATGCAAAAAACATCTACGAAGCTTTGGGGGACCTGCGAGTACAAATGTTTCGAGAAACGAAGTTGGTTACAAAAGGCTCTGCTGAGAAATGTGGAGTAGGTTATACTCCGGTGTATGCAGCAGGCAAACGGTCACGGAGCCCTTTTGCTGGCGACTTCTCCGCGCAAAGCTGGCTCACGGCTGCGCACTTTGCGTTCACACCTCGGCAAATATGCAAGGCTGATTTTGGCACAGCTGCTCAGGTTTACGTCGAGACGTGAAGATCAAAAAGCGGGCCTGTCCCTCTTGAAAAGTTCTGCAAGCACTTTTGTCGCGTTGTCGCCGTTTGCCGCAGTGTCTAAGAGTCTAACAGAAGGCTATGCCACATCTGCTGTGAGAATTTCCATAGCCACAACTCCTGGTCCACGTGCGAGCGACTGTACAAGTGTGCTTCAAATGCGTGGCGGAACAAAACGGCACAAGTCTCATGCGCGGCTGAAATGGGCTAAGCCACATCTTTTGCATGGTGAGCCGTGCGCATCGCAGTGCCCTTATGGTGTGTACATCCATGCAAACCGGTGAAAATTGATAGTTGAGTCATTGAAATGGAAGCCGCCTACCAAGGCCCGAAGGCCGTTCGGAGGGGCTTAGCGGCCTTTGTAGAGATGGCCTTGGCCTTGAAGCCCTTGTCCTTCAGGGCTGCTTGTGCTGCTGCTAGCCTAGCGATGGGCACGCGGTAGGGCGAGCAGCTCACATAGTCCAGGCCAAGCCTTTGGCAGAATTCGATGGAGGATGGATCGCCGCCGTGCTCACCACAAATGCCCATCTCGATTCCAGCGCGAGTCTTCTGCCCTCGCTTCATGGCCAACTTCATGAGTTCGCCTACGCCTTGCTCATCGATGCTGACAAACGGATCCTCTTCCATGACGCCCTTGGCCTTGTAGGTGCTCATGAAGTTGCCCACGTCATCTCGACTGAGTCCGTAGGTGGTCTGCGTCAGATCCTAGGCCCCGGTTAGGAAGGAAAGAAAAAAGATCCTTTTTAGAGGCTCTCTTTCTTGATACTGGGAAACCTAGGCACTGAACACCTGTTCCGACACAGTTTCGAAACGACAACATAAAGTAGTCCAACCTGAGTAGCTAGTACAATACAACAAGACTGATAAGATCAATTGTTTCCTGATCTTCTTGAACTGTCGTCAACAGTACAGGAGCTAAGGCAGCTAAAAGAATTGAAGAATGCAATATACATGTCAGTGTTGACTCAGCCATGAAGACAGAATACTCTAGACGAGGATAAGATATTAACATATCTGAACTTGCCAACAAGTAATGAACTAGTTGTCTAAAGAATGAAATTCAGCAGCTGCTTCACATGACCCTGAACCTAAGACCGCCTTTGATTACTAAACCACCTAAAACAGGCTCTTCAAACACTGAATCAATCAAGCCGTTTAGAGGGGCTGAGGAAATCACAGATCGCAGATTTCCAGGCATCTTGCCTATCTAGGTAGTGATTCTTAACTTTTCCTTGAAATTTCCATAACAGTACAAGAGCAAGAGAACCCAAGAATTCAACAAGTATTCTTCTTTGCTTTGTTTCGTCTTTTTAATAATGTATCTAAAATATGCGTTGGAAATCTGAAACCTGTGGTTTCGTGAGCACCCTAATCTTAAACGCCTTCGAATACTCTCATGTGCCGCAGGAGGTCCTAAAGCGCAAGTCTTCAAGCCATTGTGAGTGAAAGACTCGGGCTTTGGCAACCAAACGTCCACGAAAGCATCGAGCAATTGAAGCTAATGGTTTGGGGGCTCATGTGCCGAAGGTACTGCTGCAGACAAGCCCTGTAGACCATGAAACCGCTGAACCACCAAACCATGAAGCCAACAATTAAACCAACAAGGCGTCAAGCCAATGATTTTGGGGCCTATATGCCACAGCGTTTGGTTTAAGGCAATAACTTCCATAAACTGGATCCGGACAGCTGTGGAAAAACACTTCGTATGTCGGAACATCCTCATTAAGCTGATGTTCGAAATACGTGTCCGAAAGTATTCGTTCAAACCACAAGCCCCATTAAACCATTAAAGCATAAAGCCTTGAAGCCAGTAAACCAGGAATTAAAACCGGCAAATTAAAACGGGTAAACCAAGTACCAGTATGCCACAGGTATGGTACCGTACAAGGGCCCCAGAAGCAGTGGCTTTCAGGTTGAATGGTTTGATGGGTATTGGTGTGAATCAATAGATGCGTCCCAATAGCATTGGCTCGATGGCTCGATGGCTTAACGGTTTGATTGTTCACGGAGGATCTTGTTTTGAACCAGGGTAGGAAGGATACTCTTGGAAACACATGTCGCTCAAAGCTGACAATCGGATGTTTCGGAAGAGCCAACCTGTTTCGAAACCCGTGTCCACGCGCGGCCTTGCTGACACCAAACAGCCACAAGTATAATTTTCCAAATGTTGGCCCAGGATCGTTGGTGCCAAAGCTGAAGAACTCTGCTTGCTCCGCCAAGCGCCCTGCTTGCAGACAAGCCCGAGGCAGCTCAATCATGCTTCCAACTCCATAGTGGAGCTTTACGCCCTCCTCTGCCTGCACTGCCTGTGCGGTCTTGTCAATGATCTCCTTGATTGTCTTGAACTCTTCTAGCGAGGCCACCAAAGGCACCATGACCTCCACCATGGGACAGTTCTTCACTTGCGCGGCGGCTCCGAAGATGGCACGCGCCTGCATCTCGCAAATCTCTGGATAGGTGATGGCCAAGCGGCAGCCGCGGTGCCCGAGCATTGGGTTGGACTCCTGAATCTCGTTAGCACGTCGCTTCAAGCGCTCCAGCGGCATGCCAGCGGCTCTGGCCACTGCGGCAAGCTCGGACTCTGTGTGGGGGAGGAACTCGTGCAACGGGGGGTCCAACAGTCGGATGGTCACTGGAAGACCGCTCATGATCTCAAAGAGCTCTACCTGGGCTTGTACCGAGGGTGGTACGAGAAATCACATAATTTATGTTCCATATTGGGTTTAAGCATTCAGGAAAATGTGAAGTGTTGTTCAACAACTTCCAAGCTGCCATGTCTTCCCGTTGCATGAAAAGCAATTTGTGTAGCGCTTCTTTTCGCTCCTTTTGATCTGAGGCCAAGATCATCTGCCGCACGGCGACGATACGCCGGCCGGCGAAGAACATGTGCTCCGTGCGGACCAGACCCAGGCCTTCCGCACCGAACTCCTTGGCTTGACGAGTGTCGGCGATGGTCTCCGCATTGGCACGCACTTGCAGGCTGCGGAAGAGGTCTGTCCAACTCATGAGTGTCTGGAACTGCTTCCCCAGCACGGAAGAAGTCGGTGGCATGGTGGGCACCTCTCCCAGCATCACCTCGCCTGTGACGCCATCGATGCTGAGTCTGTCGCCCTCCTTCACGACAACATCACCAACTCGCAAAGTCCTTGCTGCCAAGTCGACTGCAGCACCTGCTTCTGCAGCACCTGCGCCGCTTGGACGTCCCGCACCAACCACGCATGGCCGGCCCATGCCACGGGCCACTACGGCAGCATGGCTGGTAATGCCGCCGGTGATTGTCAGCACACCCTGTGCTGCATGAAGTCCGTGGATATCATCAGGGCTCGTCTCGCTTCGCACCAGGATGACTCGCTCCCCATCATTTGCCCGTCGCACGGCCTGCGCGCGAACACAAGCTCAACAAGAAGCTGTCAGAGGTAAGCATGGAAGACGTGGTTTCGCAGCAATTGATGTGGGAACCTGCTCTGCTACCACTGGACACAGGTAAAGGGCAAAACACAGGTCGTGGAGATCATGCTCCATTGCCCACACCTCGTCAGCACAGAACACGACCTTGCCAGCCGCGGCACCAGGCGATGCTGGCAGGCCCTGCCGATTCAAGGCACAAGGTGCAAGGATGCGTAGCTGAACTGTGGAATCAGAGTGAAGCAGTTCTGGCAACGATTCATCTGGTGCACTCAAAGGCGTCACGGTAGCATGGCAACTGTGCTAGGTCGCCTGAAACGGGCATCTATAGGCCATTAGGCATAGCGACCCTGCAGTCTCTTGGAGCCCCAACGGATCCTGCTACCCCCCCCCCATGCTGAGAGGTGCAAGCCTTGGTGATGACCTTTTTCTGCGCTGTTGGGTCGAAAGTGGGGTGCAGGAGGTGCTCCAGCAACTGCGGCTTCAAGCGCATGATGGCTTCTTCCCTGGAGATGAAACCTGCCAGGGGAATCACGCAACAAGTTACGTTTAGTTTTGCCAAGGCCTTGCTTCAGCAAGGGTAGTCTTGAGTCTGCTCAGGAAGGGCCCGCTTGTCGTTTATCCTCCTGGCCTTCGTTGGCCATGTCGACTGCAATTCGGATTGCTGCAGGTGTAGTCCTCTTGCCTGCACGGGTCTGCAGCATGTACAACTTGCCCTTCTGGATGGTGAACTCGATTTCGTGCATATCTCGATAGTGCTTCTCCAACTGCTCACGGACGGCCATGAGCTCTCGAAACATCTTGGGCATGAGTTCCTCCAGGGAGGGCAGGTCACCACCATGAGCCAGTCGAGCTGGCGTCGTGAGCTCACGGGGCGTACGGATGCCAGCCACAACGTCCTCGCCCTGTGCATTCACAAGGAACTCTCCGAAGAAATGGTTATCACCTGTGGAAGGATTCCTGGTGAAGGCCACGCCCGTTGCACAGTCATTGCCCATGTTCCCAAAGACCATGGCTTGGATATTCGCGGCAGTTCCCCACGCATCTGGGATGTCATGCAATTCCCGGTAAGTCCTTGCTCGAGGATTGGACCAGGACTTGAACACGGCGCTGATGGCTCCCCAGAGCTGTTCCAAGGGGTCTGTGGGAAATTCCTGGCCCAGTTGCGCGTAGATCCGGGTCTTATAGTCTCGCACAAGCTTCTCCAGGTCCTCCTCCTCAAGCTCGTAGTCCTGCTTCACTCCGCGCCGTTGCTTTGCCCGGCGCAAGATCTCCTCGAAGTTCACATCGAGACCCAGCACCACGTCAGCATAATTTTGAATGAAGCGTCTATAGGTGTCAAGGGAAAAGCGCGGATCGCCATATTTCTCGGACATGGCTTGGACGGTTTTGGAATTCAATCCCACGTTCAGCACAGTGTCCATCATGCCGGGCATTGAAGGAGGCGCGCCGGAACGTACCGACACCAGGAGCGGGTTCGTAGAGTCACCAAATTTCATTCCTGTTCGCTGCTCCACAAGGGCTAAAGAATTGAGCACCTCGTCCTTGAGTCCCTCCGGGAAGACCCCGTGCTGCTGGAAGTAGTTGCAGACTTCGGTGGTCAACGTGAAGCCAGGCGGCACAGGCAACCCGATGGAAGCCATCTCTGCCAGGTGGGCACCCTTGTTTCCCAGCAAATCCTTCCTATTGGTGGCGCCTTCTTCTCCTGGGCCGAAGTTGTGGACCCACTTCGTCATGGCGGACCTTCCGGCTCTTTTAGCCGCTGACGTCTTGACCTGTGTAAGCGAAAGCCCAAACTGCAGACAACGCGGCGTCTGATCAGCATGATCCACTCCCACTAGACACTAGATGGCACGGTAGCCGTCAGAAAGGAGACTCGGTCAGGTTCCAACTCCTGCGCAGGCTCTTTTAGTAGCTAGTTCCATTTCCAGTCACCTGGAGCCCCTGAGTCCCGGTCCAGGTCCAAGTCTGCCACCTGTTCAGGTCCACCCACGACCTGGCCCAAAACTGAACTGGGCTTTACATTCAACCGAAGCAAGACGGTGTGGATGATTACTCGTGCTCTTGGGGAAAATGATCACGTCTTGGGCAACGGAATCACGTCAAAGACGACGTCTGCTTCTGAGCAGACTAGTGAATTGTACAGAACATTTAGAGCGAAGCTCACGCTGAGGATTTGGAGAGGCTAGAAGCCGTGTCGAGGTGACACTTCATGAAATCATGAGGGCCCCTTTGATTGTATATTCTACTCTGCAGGACACGCTTGAAGCTGCGACGGGCCTGCAAACGTTCAAACACAAAACGGGCAAGCTGATTGGCCGGGTACATTGCTGAAGACTTTGATAACGTGTTAAAAGTCGGGGTTCACTAAGGGTCCTAACCCAAAAGCACTGCGGCACACTTTTCCTTGCACCGCACTGGTGTGTCTGGGTCCTTGAGCCTTCCGGCGAAAGCACGGCTCAAGTTGTTCCTACACACTTCAGCTGTGTGAAAACACTGTGTTCCTACTTGGCAGTAATGTTTAACACCCCGCCGTCGAAACTAGGGAATGACTTTCCTAAGCCAGAGCTCGTTTCGAAACTCTTTCCCTGCCAAAACAAACTGCAAAACAAGTTCCTTTGTCAACTGCGCAGACATGCGACTGTCCACTTGCGTTCCTCTCCAAGGTCGCTGTTACTGTACAAGGGTTCCTTTACAAGTCACAAAGACAAAACAAAAGTAAGTGAGTTGTTCCTTGGATCGTCGTCCTTTAGCACGCAAAACAACTACGCTGCTACTGCGAAGGTCGGACGGATACACCATCCCGTTCCTTCTGTTACAGCTTTCAGCTGTCCTGAAAAAGGCTTACGACTCACAGGTCCTTTGGCTTTAGCTTCTTCACTTCTTCTTCTTCTTTGGTCCAAAACCTTTGATCCTTTCCTCACTTCTGCTCTCCTGCTTCTGTGACCTTTACTGGAAGCTCGGGTCTTTGCTGCTGTCTGGCTCCTCCTTTTCCTTGTGCTTTCCTGCTTCTATGTCGTAGTACTCGGGTGAGTGCTTGGCCATCTCGTCGTCATCGTCCTTGGTCTTCTTTCCTTTCTTTCCTTTACCTTTTCCTTTGCGCCACTTCTGCTCTTGCATCAAGCAAGTGTCCTTTCCTTTTGGGTCTCTTCCTTCCTGCTTGTACCAACGGCGCGCGACCAAGTCGAAAAAGTACCACTGCTGGTTTCCGCTGTTCCACTTCCACTG